TTTTTTTAAAGTACTGGTTCGCCCAACGGGTACGGGGGGTCTGCCCAACGGGTCATGACCCAACCAGACGAAGGGTGTCGGGAGCTCGGAGTTTTTTTGGGCCCTTATAGGAACCTATAGGAACCTATAGGAATCTTATAGGAAACTCATAGGAAGTCCATAGGAAGCCCATAGAAAAAGATGAAGAGGGCTTCCTACAGGTTTCCTATGAGTTGCCTATAAGATTCCTATAGGTTCCTATAGGTTCCTATAAGGGCCCAAAAAAACTCCGAGCTCCGTCTCCCTCACCATCGAACAACGTCCTGGCGCCTCCCCTCAGGCCGGGCCACCCTTGATTGACTACTTCTGTTCCGTGATTGTTTGAGTCGTGTTTGGGTCCGGGTTTGGGGTCCTCGGGAAACCAACGGGTTGGGCGAACCAGTATCGAAACCGAGTTGGGCGAACCAGTATCCTACGTGCCTGCTCGGCGCTGTGCCTGCTCGGCGCTGTGCCCGCTCGGCACTGCCTACCCTACAGTGCCTGCTCGGCGCTGTGCCTGCTCGGCGCTGTGCCTGCTCGGCGCTGTGCCTGCTCGGCGCTGTGCCTGCTCGGCACTCCTACGGTGCCTGCTCGGCACTGTGCCTGCTCGGCACGTCCTACCTAAAGTGCCCGCTCGGCACTGCCGAAAAAAAATCCCGCCCCCCAGCGCCAGACCCCCCGGAGTCGCGCTTCGTTGCCAACACGCACGGCAGCCTGACAGGAAAAAAAACTCCGGGCAGAGTCCCCCTTCTTTTGCACGGTTTTTCACGGTTTTGAGCTACAAAATGCTATTAGCCTAGGCCCTACATAAATATAGACCCTAGGCTAATAGCTCGTGTTGCACGGTTTTGCACGGTTTGCCCACGCCAGCCCGCTGGTTTGATACTGGTTCGCCCAACCCGACCCTTTTTGCACCCCTTTTGCACCCCCTCTTTTTTGTTCGATTTTGCATGTTTTTGGCTTGATTTGTGATTGCACCCCTTTTGCACCCCCTCTAGTTTGTTCGATTTTGCATGGAATTGGCTTGATTTGTGATTGCACCCTCTTGCACCCCTCTTTCAACACGCCGATGTTTTTTTGCTTGTCAGCCGTGACTACTGGAAAACCCATGCTACCCATGCTCAGTGAGTCGGGTATCATGGTTAGCTTGTCTCGGCCCCAAAACCCCCATGCTGCCCATGCTACCCCTGCTACCCAGCTCACAAAACAGCCAGCAGAGGCATGAGTAGCATGGGTAGCATGGGGAGCATGGGGGTTCTTGGGGCCGAGACAGGAAAACGTTTTTTTGAGCAGTGCAGGGTTGGCCAGGTGAGGGCTCGCTGCACTTACGAGCTGGGTAGCACGGGTAGCACGGGTAGCATGGGTAGCATGGGTAGCATGGGGTTTTTTGGGGCCGAGGCAGGAAAACGTTTTTTTGAGCAGTGCATTTTTTCCGGGCGGAGAGTCATCTTGAGATTCATGTGCGTGATTGACTTGCCGTTGCAGTGCCATTTTGGCGACTAGAGACCTGCCGCGGAGTGGACCCGACTATTGCGCCTTCTCTGGAGGCGGATCCTTTCCCTTTCAAGCAAGATTGATTAGTTCAGTAAATTGATCTCTGGTCCTGTTGCATTCCCGCCAGGCCATGGAAATCACAGAGCCGGTGCAGCTTGTGCCGACGAACGAGCCCGAAGTTGATAGGAAGGAGGCCTGCAGTACGGCTCGTGCCAACGAACGAGCCCGAAGTCAAGAGGAAGGAGGCCTGCTGTTACATTTTTTTTGATAGTCAAGATCATGTTGCATTCCCGGAGGCTGTGGAAATCAAGGATCCTGTGCAGCCGATGCCGGTGGACAATGCCAACCCTCATGACGAAGGAGGGAGCGAGGCCCGCAGTCTTCCTGCTTGAATACAGTGTTTTTCAGAAGTCATGGAGAGTCAGGCAAACTCAAACGATGCTGACATGCCGGAAGGGGAGAGGACTCAGGCTTGTCAGTGCGTATCCATTTGTTGCTCATGCTTTTGGGGAGAGAGCTTGAGTGGGTCACATAGCGCCAGGCGATCGAAGGGCATGCAGATGAATCCGATGGGGAAGACAGCGAGGCCCGTGTGTTGCTGTTTTTTTTCTTCTTCATCACCCCCACAGAACCTCGCTACCCATGCTACCCATGCTACCCCGGCTTTGTTGTGCGTCACTCCGTGGATGTAGCATGGTGCCAGGCGAGCATGAACCAGGCGGATGAGCCTGAAGACGAGAAGGCCTGTCAGAGCGTGCTATGCATTTTTTTTTGGAGAGGGACTCGAAGGCGATTGAAAGCCATGCAGATGAGTCCAAAGGCAGGGAGGACGAGGCCTGTCTGTTGCCTCATGTGCTTTTGGTGTCAATGCATGTCATGCATTCTTTATTCATGCGCCTTTTTGGAGAGGGAACTTGAGTGTGTCCTGGTGCCAGGCCAAAGGCAAGCAACGAGGACCAGGCCTGTCTCTTGCTGCAGTTTACCCTCCAAAATCCCCTTGCTACCCATGCTACCCATGCTACCCAGCCTTAAAACACGGCCAAGGCATGCCTCGTTGCATTTCTGAGCTGGAGCATGGGTAGCATGGGTAGCATGGGTAGCATGGGTAGCATGGGGCCATTTGGAGGCCCGCCGCAATCCCTCGGGTAGCGCGGGTAGCACGGGTAGCACGGGTAGCACGGGTAGCACGGGTAGCACGGGTAGCATGGGTAGCAGGGGTAGCGTGGGTAGCACGGGTAGCAGGGGCCATGTTGGGAGGCTCGCCGCAATCCCGCGGGTAGCACGGGTAGCACGGGTAGCCGGGGCCATTTTGGAAGGGGGGCCAATTCTGGTTGGTTGCCAGGACCTTTGTTGTGCGGTCGCAGCTTCCTGAGGCGCTAGGCTGATGAGCCCCAGGCCAAGCGAGAAGGTGGAGTCCTCAGGATCTTTGGATGGTTCATTTTCTTCGGATGAGGAGAGCGCTGTTCCCGCCAACAAAACAGTGTCCAAAATGGTCCGAGCGGAGCTGGTCTTGGAGCTGCAGAGTTTGGCGGACAAGGACCTCCAGGGCATGGTTGTGCATGTGCTGCGCCACATGCTGAACCAACATGTCCTTGACGCTTGCAAACCCGTTGCGATGTTGCTGGCTCTCTTGCTCTTGTACATCCAACAGCCTTTGATATTTTTACTTGTGAACCAGCATGTTCTTGAAGCTTGCAAACCGCTTGCAACTTTGAGCCAGCATGTGTGTGTGTGTGTGTGCGCGAGCAGGCCACAGGGCAATTTTGCTGTTTTTTGGGGAAGTGCACGCAAGGCCGGGTGACCCCGTGCTACCCTTGCTACCCCTGCTACCCATGCTGCCCATGCTACCCTTGCTACCCCTGCTACCCACGCTACCCATGCTGCCCATGCTACCCATGCTACCCGTGCTACACACGCTACCCATGCTGCCCATGCTACCCATGCTACCCGTGCTACCCGTGCTACCCCGAACAGAAACGCATCCAGGGCGAGTGTGGTTGCATTTTTGTGCTGGGTAGCATGGGTAGCATTTGTAGCATGGGTAGCATGGGTAGCATGGGTGGCATGGCCCCGCAGAGTGCTTGCTTGACTGGATGTCTATTACTTTGTTTTTTTGCCTTGATGTCTTTCAAGCATGCTGCAGCAAGGTCTCTACTTTATGCACACGGCTATCTTTCGTCTTCGACCTGGGCCTTCCGCTGGTGCTGGTGAGGCATTTGATGACCGTGGTGAGTTTCTGCGTGAAAGCGCCTTGCTCGAAAGCGCTGCAGGCCATGGAGATTCACGACCCAGTCCAGACAGGTGCCTCCACCTGCACCTGAGAATGCGCCTTCAAGCTTGCTGGCCGTTTCTGTTTTGGGGATGAGCGGGAAAGGGCCGTGCTATCTGAACATAAACTCATCCAGGGCTTGTGAAGCTGCAATTTTTGGAGCTCATTTTTTGCGGGTAGCTGGTGATGCGTCCAGGCGCCAGCAGGTGCAGCAATCTCAGATGACGAGGAAAGTGTGGATGAGAAGCAGGCCAGCGGAATCAGGCCCGACATGTCTTGATACAAGAGTTCTTATTGGAGTTGGAGCTTGTAGTTGGCCTTGCTTCCTTGTTGGCCTTGCGTTTCCCCGTTCTCGCGTTGCCAGGCGATGCAGATGCGCCAACAGATGGAGCCGCTGCCTGAGGATGGGAGGCTTGTTTGCATGACCGGTGTCCAAGATGCGCTCAGATAGGATGCGTTGGCTGTGCATTGTGTGCATTGTGTGAAAGGGTTGGCTCACACACAGCGACGTTCGTCCAATAGACAAGTTTCCTTTCAACCTCAAGCAAAACGATTTTTGGATATGTTTTTTGATCATAGCGCGAAGCACCGCAAAAAGTCCCCAAAAGCTTCCGTCAGCTGCCATGTTTCAAAGCTCATGGTGGGCGCGGCTGCAGCAGGTTGCCAGCATCTACAAGGTGGCAACGCTTCCCCTGGCTCTTGTGGGCACTGGTGTCACGGGCGCACGTTTTTACAACTCCTGGAACCCAGAGGGGTATGCCCGATGGTACCTGTGGAGCATTTCCGCTGGGCGCTTTAAGGAACCGACGTATGCCAAGCCCTGGGTGGCCAACAAGAGCATGACACAGATCGTCCGGCAGGCTTTGAAAGAGCGCAAGAACTTCGAGCTGATGACGCTGATCAGCGGACTGCAGATCTCTGGCAAGACCAGTGCGGTGCTGAAGGAATGCCACGATCAAGGCAAGGTGGGCTTCTTCATCGGCCTCGGCGACTACAAGGGCGAGGAGAACGACAAAAAGAAGATCGAGGAGTTCGTGGTGGGGAGCCTGATCTCAAACCAGACAGCCACCTTCCACGGCTGGTTTCAGCACATGAAGTGGTTGTTTTTCCCACAGCCGCAGCCCCATGCGGTGTGGAAGGGCCTGCGTGGAGCCTTCGAGGCACACCCGCAGCAACTGGTTCTGGTGGTGGATGAGACGCAGATTCTCGCGAACAGGTGATGCAGCACAGCGGCATCCTCAACGAGTTCTGTGCCCTTTCTCTGTGGGGCAATGTGGTCCTGGTCGCCAGCGAGTACGGTGTGGCCCAGTACTTCAAGCTGATGACGCACGTGGCAAAGCGCACGGACATGAGGTACTCTCCAGCGCCTACCTCCGAGGAGATGCAGCCACACGTCAAGGAGCGCTTCGAAGCGGACTTTGGCGAGGAGGGCGTGGCCCAAATTGTCCGCTCCTTGGACGGCTCCTTCGAGCTCTTGCGCCGCTTGGATGAAAATCGAGCCCTGGGCATCGAGGGCGTGAAGAAGTGGCACAAGGAGCAGCTCGAGTACAGTCTGGAGCTGACAAAAACAGGGATGGAGAAGGAGGAGAAGGCCACCAAGACCGGCAAGGCCATGTTGGCCGCTGCAGAGATGGCCTTTGGGCCGCCAGTGAAGGCCTTCGACAAGGCCACGCTGGAGCTTGCTCAAGTGGGCGGCGCCAAGATCGAGACCAAAAAGGATGATGGGCTCCAGGCCTCATGGGCCTCGCCGCTCACCGGGGAGGTGATGAAGGAATTGGTTTGCGATGAGGGCGTGGCCGCCATCATGAAGAAGCGCGTGCCCGCAGAGACTTACAAGGAGTTTGAGCAGGTGATCAAAGGCAGATGCCCCACAGTGAAGCAGTAGTTTGGGCAGTCGGCCTGTTCAGGAGAGAGTTTTCTACATCGTGCGAGTGAAAAGTTGGGCAAGCCCATCGTGCTTTTTGCCCCCACGTGGGCTTTCTTGCAGATTTGTTGTCGCTGCCAAGGACAGGATGCCTCATCCAGCCAGCGCTGGAAACAGGCTGGATAGAAAAGGACAAGCTTGGCAGCTTCACATTTTGATGCAGACCTGGGGGAGAGGCCATGCACCCATGCTACCCACCTCAACAAAGCGCAACTACATTGGCCCTGGCAGCATTTTTACAAGGTAGCACGGGTAGCACAGGTAGCATGGGTAGCATGGGTAGCACAGGTAGCATGGGTAGCATGGGTAGCGGGGGGATAGCGGGGGCAGCGCGGGTAGCCGGGTAGCGCGGGGGGGGGGGAACACGGGTAGCACGGGTAGCGGGGGCTAGGGGGGGGGGAGCGCTGGAAATCTTGATGATTGGCGGGGCATCCCAAGAGGCAAATTTGGCAGATGTTGTGGCGACCCAATCCCTAAAGTCTTGACATGGTTTGACTCGAGCGTGCCATTGTGCAGTCACGTGGCGTCCACGCTCTCACGAGACACCCATGTTGGATTCATGAGAGGCTCATGCAGGAATCATGCAACTGTGTTCTGCCTGAGGGCCCCCCAAGCTCGCCCAAGGCGCAAGTCCGAGCCGGGCTTGGGTGTTCATCTGCAACCGCGTTTTTAAGCCGCACAAAGCTGGGATACTCTTGTAGCGTCCGTTTCAAAGCCCTCAGTCAATGGTCCTGGGCGGGAGCTGTCCCAGGAAGTCGTCCAGCTGCCTCAGCGCAGCGGCCTGCCGCGCTTCGTTAGCCGGCGTGTTGCCGCATGGACGCTGCCTTGAAAGCGGGCAAAGCTTCATGGACGTCTCCCTGTCGAACTGGCCGGTCCGCCCCAGCGCAGCGTGGCCACGCACCGTCGCGGCTCTGAGCGTCGACGGCTACACGCTGACCTGGTTGTGAACCCCTTGAACATCGTCACCTGCAGCCTGACTCCCGGCCGGGAGCTCAGCAGGCCTACTTTGCCCAGCCGCACGAGACGGTGTACGGAGCGCTGAGGAGAAGCAGCCGGCCACCGAGTTCCGGCTGTAACGCCGACAAGTTCCGGTACAACAAGAAGCTTGCGGACCGGCGCGTGGAGGACGCGGGCGCCTTCTCTCCCCCTCTCTCACGCCCAGCTTGCCCGTCAGGAGGCCGTCCACCTGCGCGATGGTGTAGTAGCCGAGCAGGGCTGGAGGCCATTGCCGTGTCCTGGTCGGCAGCCAAGCAATGCACCAGCGCCGAGGCGGTGGTGAAAACGTCCTGGTCCGGTCGCAGCGCACCCGCGATGGCGCCTGTCCTGGGCGCTCGCCGTTCGGTAGTCGCCCAGCAGCGCGTGTCGTCGCCCAGCAGCACGTCCACTTGCGCCGAGTTGTAGTAGGCCAGCAGCGCAGCTGCGAGGGCCGCGTCCGCCACTGCGATGGAGTAGCAGTCGGCCGTGATGCAGCGTGTCGTCGCCGTTGGCCAGCGCAGCAGAGAGAGGAGCCTCCAGATGCAGGTTGCGAACGACGTTGCTTCCGCGAACGAGCTCCCAAGTTGTGAAGCCCGCCCAGGCCGGCGCGGTAACAACTCCGCTGCCGGAAAGCTGCAGGGCGGCGAGCTCCGCGAGGATTGCGTCGAGGGCGCTCTGGAGCGTGGTCTCGCTGGCTGAGAGCGCGGCGTTCGTGGCGTACGAGGCCAGCAGCGCCGCGTCGGCCTTGGAGGCCTGGAGCGCCGTGATGCTGGCGTCCCGGTTAGCAAGCTGCGCTGCGACGAAGGCCTCGGTGGCGAGACCCAGCAGGGCATTTGCTATCTTGGTGTCTACCTCCAGCGGCGTGTCCAAGCCGTCCACCGTGGAGAGCAGGGAGGCCAGCGCGCTTGCGTCCGCCTTGCCGAGGAGGGCGGCGTCCAGGGCTGCCGTGGTGACTGCGTTTAGGAGGGCCGCTGCTATCTTAGAGTCCACCTCAGAGGAAGTGTCCACGGCCGACTGCAGGGCGTAAGCAGTCAGGGCGCTGGCGTCCGCCTTGGAGGCCTGCAGCCCTGAGATGGAGGCGTCCCTGCTTGCAAGCTCGGAGGCCAGCGCCGCGGCGGTGACGGCCCCCAGGAGAGCGTTGGCCACCTTGGTGTCTACCTCCAGCGGCGTGATCCTCGCCGCTATGTCTAGGGAGTGCTGGTCCACCACCGTCTTGAGGCCGTAGTTGGCGGCCACCGTGGCCAGCGTGGCGTTGTTGTGGCTGCAATCTCCTCATGATGAACGATACGCACATGAGCGAATTGACCGCCCCGATGCACGCATCAGAGATGTCACTGGGGGTTGACCCACAGATCATCCAGCGCAATAGGTTGTTCTGGCTGGCATTCTCATCCCTCCTCAGTGCCTATGCGAGGTTTATCATCGGATGCTGCAGCGCATTTGGTAGACAACCAGGTTTCCTCAATTTCTTCTGGTAGTCGTCCTTGGAGCCACGACCGTAGGAGTCGATCTTGGGAGCCTTGATCACGCTCAACGTGAACACTTTCCCCCAGTTTCGATCTCTGTACTTTGCAATTCTCCGATCGTGCCTCTCAAACTCTGCAGTCGTCTGGAACTCCTCGGAGCTCCTCCACCTTCTCGATGACGATGCCCTAGATGACTCGTCGCTGATGAATTCTTTGTACACCTCCCCAACCGGGGTGTCCTGGTGGAATGCAGCTTTGAACGACCGTTCATCGTTGTCCTCGGCCACGCCTAGTGCGAGATTGATCTCAACATATCCGCCCCTTCCATGCAGTACTTGGTTACGTTGAGCAACTCGGGGTTCTTCGCCAGCATCGTTGCCTCACCGCAAAGTTGGTTCAGCGCCGACACGATCTTCTTTCCCTTGCTGCAGAATTCCCTCCATCCAAGCATACATTCGTCGGCAGAAAGCTGTCCGAAAACTTTGTTGATGAACTCTAAGGCAACCCTCATAGACTGCCCTTCACCTTTCATCATCCCGCGGCCCTTGGCAGAGTAGTACGCAGAGTATGCATAAATAGCGGGGACGCCTATGTCCTCGATCAACTTCACGCACATACCCAGGTCGCTGCTCATCTCCATCCTCCGTGTTTTTGTTTGTTGTTTTGTGTATTGGTGTTTTTGGTCTAGTTTGGTTTTTTTTTTTTTTTGTTTGTGTATTTGTTTGTGATTAATTTTTGTTTGTTGTTTTTTTGTTCTTTTATCTTTTGTTGTTGGAGTTTTTTTTAGTTTGTTTTTTTTTATTTTTTTTGTTTGTTTTTGTTTGGGTTGTTTGGGCTTTTCGCTTTTTGTTTATATTTTGTCTGTTGGGATTATCCTCTTGCCTTCCTCGATGGCGTTCTTCACCAAATTTCCCAAGAAGATTGCTGCTTGCCTAGATTTCCCAACAGGCACGCAGAAGAACTCATTTGCATTGACGACATTCTGATTGGCAGTCATCTTGATGATATTCTCCAGACCCAGGAAAATCCAAAATAAGCAGCTGCAAATGAAGCCACGGAATTGTCCCAATGCGATCCCAGCTTCAGATTGAGGTGACGAACTCGTCCAGCTCCTCCTTGAAGCTTGGGGTTCGGGACCGACCCAGCTCCCCGTATGCACCAGAGGTTCGGGACTGACCCAGCACCTCGGTTGTGCAGTTGGGGTGGTGCAGATTTCGCTCGCAGTAGCTTGGTGCTTCCGCGATCTCCTTCGCGTAATGCAAGCAAGAGCGAGTTTCAACGGTGCCGGTTTGAGGCACCTTGCTCGAGCACGAAAACGGCGAAGGATCACACCCACAATTATTGACGTGTACAACTGGGTTTCTTTGGTTTCCCGACCAGCACAAGGTCCATGCTCATGGTTTCCATTGCATTTCTTAGACAACGAGCCACCAAGTTCAAAGTTCCATGATACAACTCTCCATGGTTTCTTGATTGGCATGGGTTTCTTTGCATATCTTTGTTTCAAGCCATAGCGACACCCATCAAACTCGTGACTAGTCCCATCATGCACGACCTCACGCAGTCTCTCATCTTTCCAATATTCACAACTTCCAGGCAACTCAAACAAAATCGCAGCTCGTTTTGTCATGGCATGCCGTTTAATTTCAACGAACCGTTCAAACAATCTCCAAAATTCTCTTTGTTTGGCCTCGATTTTCTCTGCGGTGTCAATTACGCGAGTCTTGTTGAGGCGTGCCCATGATGATCCCCCCGTGCAAGGCCCGGCGAAGAACAACAAATCGGAAGGTTTGGTAAGCACATGTCTGGCGATTCTCCCCCCGTACTCGCTCAGTAAGTCATCAACCAGAGTTATGGTGATAACCTGCGGCCCGTCATGGCGGGCAAGAGCAGTGAACCAGTTACGTGGTTCGGAACATGCCATCAACACGATAGGCCGAGCCAAGTCAACACTGTAAAGAGTGACGACTGTGCGAGTTCTCATACCAGGAAGCGAGACATGAACAGGAGCGCGAAGCACACCACCGTCGTGTTTGACCATCGCGTGTTCAATACCCGGCGCTAACTGTGGCTTGTGCTTCACCGCAATGCGATACGGAACAAAACAACGACCAGGGACAAGCTGCTCGTGATTGATATGCAGACAACGCATGAGCAATTTCAATCGAAGCAACGTTTCCAAAGCAAGGTCGTTAACACACTTCAACTCTATGCGCTCGTTCGACAGTTCTTCAACAAATGCGGCCAGCACGGACTGCATGTCAACATCCCCGGACCCGACGTGAATTGGTCGTGGTCGTGGAGACCGTTCCCGCGCCGGTGCAGCGTCCGGTACGGGATGAAACTGCCAAACTGCGCGTTCAACCCAACCATCAATTCGCACACATTGTAGCCCCGGGTCAACTCTATCCTCAACTTTGAGCCATGACCCATTCTTCAGAAACCAAGTGGAACGAAGCCACTTGCTCCCAAACGGTGTCCTAACCGCGAGTGGAGGTTTCACACGCATCAATCTGGGTC